GTATTTTATTTTCAGTGTAAGGATCCAAAACAACAAGTTGATGCTGACCGTGGATAGACAGTAATTGCCTTCTATGTTATTAACTCATGGGGATCTATTTAATAAAGTTTCCTGCCCACAACAAAAACAAACCAATTTAACTGTTGCAACAGTATTTCTTTGTCTGTGATTATCCATCTTTAATGAAACACTTAGAAGACTCTGGTAGAAGCATTATGTTTTCATGTTGGCAATTTATACCCTTTCTTGTTCCCTCAATATCTCAAGAATGCCTTTGAGGAATTTATTCAAACTCAGTCCATGTCCATTAGACTTAGTGATAAACTGGTGGTCAAAGATCAAGGTAATTGTTAGCTCTCATACATTGTGTTTTTCCATTACTCAAGATTTGATAAGCGTATAATTACACAATGTCTAATAGGATAGAAAGATGAACTGATGACATTTCTAACCCCAAAAGTCAAATGTCAATTTTACGTTGATAGCATTTTATGCTTAAAGGTCACATATGGTGGAAAATACACTTTTACATGTTTTTCAAACACTAATATGTGTTCGTAGTCTGTCTACCAACCCAACAATTCTGAGAAAAGTCCATCCTCTCCATTTTTTTGTCCAGCTCCACTTTTCAGAAAATGTGTGCTCAAACAGGCTGTTGAAGATTTCCCCTTTGTGACATCACAAAGGGCAGTAACCCCTCGACCAGGTGGCTGACACTCCCACAGCTAGGTGTTTGTTCTGATCTCTGAGTCTGCAATCTCACCGTAAACAGTCGGATGGCGAAAGAAAGCCAGAGAGGCGTGCATTTAAAGCTACAGACACAGAAACCCAGAAAAAACAGACATGTTTTGGGGGGCTCCGAGATTTATTTAAACTTGTTGTAAAGGAGGTTAATCCGCGCTGGATAAAACGCAGGATAAGCCAAAAGCCGCGAAGGAATGGGCATCAATAGATAACAGATACTATGCATGAGTACATGACTGATTTGTTTAGTGTCCATACAAGTGAATAGTGGACCATGTCCTCTCGCTTGTCACCTCTGGTACTTGTTCTTTCTGCCAATGCAAAAAGAGTTTTGACAATAGCATGCTCTGCAATAATCGGAGAAATGAAGGCATGTAAGGCCTTCTTATACTGCTTGGTTTTCATGGTAATGTATTCTGTCACATACTTTTTAATATACCAATCCCCCCCCCCCACTCAGTAAAATACCTACAAGATAGAAATAATATTAAAGTCAGACAAAACATGTTTTAATGTACAGTAGGGACTGGTCAGTGAACTCTCCTCCACAGCCCAGGTGACGGTTTGATTAATCCAACATGTCAAAACCACATCAACCAAGAAACCTCCACAAAGTGCTTAATGCTACGTTAACACTGCAAGTCTACGGACACAAGAGCAGAGAAACCACAGTCATAGTTAGTGTTTTCTTTACTCCTTTTTTTCTCTTCTTTGCAGGGTCAGTATCACCGTCTTCAACATCTCACAGCGCAGGCTTCAAATAGAAAATGACAGTTTTGGAGTAAAACGGAAACCAAGAATGTTTTGCTGAAATAAATATTTCATGAAGTATGAAATTCAACGAGGCGATTTTATGTGTGGTTGTTTTGTGTGATCCTCGTTGTGCATGTGTGTTAGTGTGTGTGTATGTACAGTGGTATGGGTCATTATGATAATTTCAGGCTGCGGTAGAGTTATTATTTTCTGCTGAAGTGCAGATTCAGACACAGTGGAAGACCAGAGAGAGCTGTAATATGAAGGCTTCTTCTTTCACTTCCTCAATATGAATAGGAATGCATATGTTCAGCTGATAGAAGATTAAACGTAATAACCCAGTCATTTTCTTCCTGTCCACTTACATCAACTGCTAACCCAAAATAAAGTCAACCCCAAAGACCAAATATATATTTTAACAGAAAATACACATTAGTGTGTCAATCTTGTGACAACGTAGAAATATCTGTTAAAGCACTTCACATAATTACACTGAAATATACACACAAACAAGCTGAAAAAGAGCTACATTCCTGAGCTTTATAAAATACCAAGTAACTGCTTTGTTATTTTTCTGTCCCAGAATATACATCCCTCTTCGCTGTACAAACAGCAAGGCTTGAGGGTTGTCAACGGCAGGTCACTGTGATGAGAACAACGATCAGATGGACTGAATATGAAAAATTAAGTTCTGGCATTAATAGTCCTTAGTGGTGAAATCCTAATAACTTTGGATACCTCAGTTTATGACCTCTTAAATGAATAATTGCATGCTTGTCAGATCTTACTGCCTTGAGATGACCTCAAAGAACGCTTAGAGTTCCTATCAGAGATAATCTGTGAGCAAAAGGAAATGAAGGTATAAGTTGTGGTTATTTTAACCAACATTGCACTGATCTTAAGCCCCCTCATGTAAACACAGTTAGTGACATCATGCATACGGTTTCCTATACAATGACTACCTAACTTGTTTTCCCCAACAACAAAAAAAGTGACGGTGGTTAGCTAAACTTTTACTAAATCTTGTTAGATGTAAACCAAAGCTTTGGGTACAATAATTTGTTCTTCTTTTGAAGTTAATTTACAGCTTAATGTTCTAATACTGACCTGAAAGCAAACACAATAAATCATTCTACTTTCTGTTTAAAGGTATAACATTCAACATTCTACATATAAATATAGCAAAAATCTAATAAGATAATAATGATAAAGATTGTGGCGATAAGACTTTTCAAAGAGAGAGTGAAGTGAAACTCCTTCTGGATTTGATGTTTTCTGGTCTCTTTTCACATGGACAGGGCAGCGCTTCCTTCAAATATGTTTCATACATGTTTCTTTGAGTGGACTATTCCATGTCCAACCGTTGGCCATGCCACCACATGGGGAGGAGTGACAGCCACGCCCACTCAGGGACTCTGTTTGTAGAGGCATAATAACAGACAGTCCAATAGAAGGAGAACCAACAGACTTTCCAAACTGAAGAAAATACTTTTTCTATGCCCCAAAAAGACAAATATATAACAACCGAGTTTAAATTTGTTGCAGAATCAATTTTTCCCAAATGCTTATTAGCACCGATCTGTTGCTGTCTCTGTCTTACAGAACCCTATTAGAGAAACCGGACAGGAGCAGTGGGAGAAGTGTGGAGACCACAGGGAAGGGGAGAGTTTAGGTAATATAAAGGTCTTTAGAGAGCATTTGTTTTGATCTGAAAATCTGCTCTGTATGAAGTTGCATTGTAAACCTTTAAGAAAATGCCTCAAAGGCGCCTTAATAGTTTCTGTAACCTGCCCCGTGTTAGAACAGATGTTATTGGCCAGACAAGGGTCAGGTCTGCAGTTATATACAGTAATATTAGGGGAGAAATTAGTTTTGTTTTCAGGACAGTTTTGCTCCAAAAAGACTCCAAGTAAAAACAACAATCCAAGTTTAACACCAATCCAATGGCTTTGTTTTTTGTAGCACTCTAGCCTCCCTGGGTTGAAAAGATTTAAGTGTCATTATATTGAGACTTCCTACACATTATGCACATGCGGTATAATAGGCACTCATAATGAGATATTTCTGCTGCATAGGGGAACATCTTAGGCTTTTGCTTATGTGATGCATGAGCGTGTAATGTTTGAGTGTATTTGTGTGTATGTGTGTGTATGTGCCTGAAAGCCTTGAGGAGAAAATGCACTGGAGAATGCCAAATAGGGAATACACACACTCACACTCACATACACTAACACACACTAATTCAAAAATACATTGATGTATACATATCTCTCCCCCCTCCCCCCAAGGAATGTAAGTACTGTGTGATTAGATTTGAATTTTTTAAGCAATCTAGAGCAAGCAGCATGCTCCTGGCGTATAATATTAGTTCTGAATAGTTCTCGTTTTGTTTAAGCGATTCCGTCTTATTTTTGGATTCTGCTTCGATTCACAAGTTGGAGGCTGCTGTGTCTTTATGGAAAGAGTGGAGTGTATAAATATGCCAGTTTGTGAATGTGATCTCAGCATACCTCAGGCAATGTGTATAAGTGACTGGCTATGGGACACATTTCTGCACATGTATTGAGTTATGATTCCCAAAGAAAATTGGACTTATCCAAAAAAAAAAAAAAAAAATCGCCTCATCAAAGTTAGTTAGGTCATCAACTTTCCTCTTTATTTTTAATCGTATCCTTAACATTTTCCCGTCCTTGGGAGAATCAAGAGCAAGATTTTTCTTCCCCGGCTGCCACATTTTCTTCCATAGCCCTATTTGTGAATTTTAAGCCGACCTTGTAAAAAATTCAAACCCAGTAAGACCTTGATCTTTTTGTGTAGTGGAAGAATTTGCTTTTCAAAAAAGGAAAAAACGGGAAAATATAGAACAGCCAAGTGGGCTGTGATAAATGTTTAATATCAGCACTTTCTAATGGTGCATTAAACATATGGGCTCTGGTATGAGTCATCACTGCATGACCGAACCAGCCTGCTTTTAAAGGGTAGCCATGTTCACCACAGTGAACACCTCCAGAATGACTGTACAGCCCTGGCTGATTATAAACACAGGTTTTTAATTGAAGTAGAGCCTGACTGTGCTGACAGTAACAAGTGATTCATGGTGGTATATCCCTTAGAACTCTTTTTTTTTTTACCTCTTGGCTAACACTTTGGTATTATAGCTCTATCATAGCATAGAGTTGCTTTGATACTACGTTTACTAAAGTTCTAAAAACATGAACATTGCTCAAATGTTAATGCGTTGTATGGACATCAGTGTAAAGTTTTTATAATCAGAAAGTGTAATTCCACCTGTGCCTGACAAGGAATCTTCAAAGTGACCTTGAGGACTTTATCTGAGAGCCAATTACTCTCGGTTAATGTATTAAAAATCAAATTCTTAACAATTAGCATATCCTATTCTCAGTTCAGAGATAACACTCGCAGGCTCGCGCTCAGGCAAGCAGGCAAGTAACAGTCTCGCACGCGCACAAGCACGTGCATATGCTCGCTCGTGCCTCCAGTTTTCCTTGCCAAGCTGTGAAGTCGCGTGGTCCCACACGGCACGAGCATACGGTTGTCGATTTCAGCACGGGACAGATCCTTCACCCTGTTACTGCAATATGGCGACAGAGGTAAGAAATGTTTACCTTTCGCTGCCTTTCCTCTTCGTTCTGTCAACAAGAACCGAAACATGACTGTGCACCTGTTTTTTTTTTTAAAGAACTGCAGCTTGACAGATGCAGCGTTGGAAACTCAATGTCTTGCTTGTTGAATCTCCGGTATCTATAGCTTACTCTGGCTATGCTAAACATTACCTTAAATCAATTAAATTGGTCTAATAGGCATTGCTGCGATTAAAAATGCAACAGAGCATCACGTTCATTCTTAGACAAGAAAATGTGTTTTCATTCAGGAGCTTCACTTACTTTCAGCAGTGTTTATGAGCTCTGTTATTGCGGACCGATACCTCCAGACCCTTTTTCTCTTTTATTTTCATTTTCATCGTTTTGTTAAGAAATGTGAGGCAAATAGACTCGTAGAAACGAACTCACTCTTAAGCTCAGGAGACTAATGAGAGTTATGATGGTGATGGAGAAGTCAGCACCATGGACAGGGACATCCCCTCTTTCCCTATGGTATACTTCTAAATAAGCTTGACAAGGTTTAGTCCTTGCATTTTGAATGAGCTTGATACTCCATACTAATCTCTCTGGGACTTGTCATGCCTGCACTAAATGTAGTTAACATGATTGGCACCAAGTTCACCAAGCTCCTTGAGACAACAACAAAAACTCCTGTTACTATTCTGTGTTACAGTTGCAGTTTCTAGTTCCCCCAGCATCAACAGTGTTGCTTATGTATTTTTAGCCTCAGTAATGCCTGATGGCTCTCAGGCCAGCAGCACGTCTTCCTCAATGCCACCTCTACGTGTCCTTGGTGATGTCACCATAATAAAGCCATTACTGCCTTAGTTACCATAATAATTACCTCATCAAAGGCGGCTGCATTTAACTTTGGTGGGACTCTCTTACATGCAAAGCATACATGGATGTGAATGTATCCAGTACATGTTTATTCCTGTGTGTATTTGGATGTCTGATACACCTGAAATTATCTAATTTATGATTGAGTGAAGTTATAATTCCGGCATAATGATGCAGCAGGTAAAGGTGCAGTGGACAGTGTGCCAGGCAGGGTTTGTGAGTGTGTGTTTTTTTTTTTTGTTCTTCCTGAGCCTGCAAGGCATTGGCAGAGCAGCCCTGATTTTCCTCTGGTGAGCTGCCAGTGTCCCTGTCCAAGCCCCATCAATTACACGAGCACACGCATGCACACAAACACACCATGCTCACGCACAGAAAAACGTAGAGTGTGTGGAAGCAACACAGATTTTATGTCCAAGTCCATCAATTATCTATGGCATATTTAATGCTGACAGGCTGCTGCAGTTGGTAACCGTCAGTGATTGGAGTTTGAGCTGCACAGTTTGCTTCCTGTTCATGGTTTTATCCATCTGTCGCTCTCTCTCTCTCTCTCTCTGTCGCTCTCTTTCCCCATCTACTTTAATATTACAACTCATTCTTATTTTATGCATAGTCAGCAAATATTAAGTGACCAAGTAACCTGCTCGTACTGCAGACTGTTTGTGCTGCATGGTTGCTCTCTGGATCCATTACATCCACTCCTGCCAGATCCTCCTCTCAGTCTTAAGGCTAGCCCGGGCTGGAGAATGACACTGTTGATGAATAATGTGTGGAAGCTCAGAGGTTGGCACGGGATCAGCTCTCTTTTTAAACAACGCACCACTTTTATCCAAAGAAAATTTCCTTCTTCCTGCATTGGCTCCACAGTCACTAATCTTCCATCTAAATGTCAGAAAATTTGACTGTTTAGTCAACACCGTCTAATCTCAATGATTTATAGACCTCTGGGTACCTCAGTTTGGCAGCAAGCATGACTAACTCTGCTCCCAGTGGCAGAAAACCAGTTTTATTACCAAGAGATGAAAAGAGAGAGCTGACAGAAAGGAAAAGGTAGGAGATTGAAACGTAACTCTGAGAGCATTTACAGTGTGTGTTGTAATTGTGTGCCCTTTGCAGCATCTGCCCACTGGCAGCACTCACCCATGCTGTCGTTATGTGTTCCTTAAGCTGGAGTGACTAAAGTAGGAAACATGTCAGGGCAATGAGAGTCACACAGCCCTACAGATCCAGGCTGGGGAAAATAACTATAGGGTATGGGGGAAGGTTTTGATAGTAGGAAACGACACAGCTTCGAGGTGCATTATGTGACATCTTAAAGCTCTGGTTCAAACTGAAATTGGTCTGTTTCTGTGGATAAAATATATTTTTTAAAGATGTTTTTCTGCACCAGAGGAATTTTCAAGGGAAATCCTTCATGCTAAAATGTGAAAATTAACTTGGAATAAGTTGAATTCCTTTATGTCGAAGAAGCTTGCACTGGATGAAATTATTTACGTGTTCTAACATCTTCCTGCAGTTAGATTTGCTAAATTTGTCTTTATGTTGTTATGTTCAAAATCAAAAAATAAATCATCTTGGGGTAATATGTAATGAACCAACACAAAATACACCTTGAATTTTAGTTTTGGGACATATAACTTGGTTTTCACATTTTAAAAATATTGACAGCTTTGAGTGATTTGCTGTGACATCATCAGGTGCAACCAGTGCCCTCATATTCATAATTGTGAGTCCAATAACATGTGTTTTTTTCACAGCTTTTGTTTGTTAATCAAACCAAACTGTCCTAACACTGGTCGGAAATTATAATGCTGTTAAAAAAAGAGACTTATTCAAGGCACTGTTTGTGTTTTGGCCTCCCTGTTTTGTTAATTTGTTTCAATCTTTTCTTCACTTGATCCATTATATTGGTCTCTACCATCGATATGTCCTTCTTCCGTACTTATTTTCACTCTTATTATTCAATCTCTGTGTTTAAATATAATGCAAAAACAATATAAGAAACTAAAAGCCCCTGATGTGTGGGAAGAGGGAAGTCAGACAGCTCAACGGTAAGCAGGTCTTCTTAATAGACTCCTATGTGATCTCGATGACACTTTCACATTGGTGTCTGCTTGTGTGCTATATTTAGACACAGTAATAGATAGACTGGATCTGAACCCTGGTCTCCCACCCAGGAAAGTAAACATCAGCACTCTGCCAACAGAAAACATTTATCTAAGAAGCTCAAATGGACACAGACAAGGACACTCTGCCAGTAACATCAACAACACGTAACAAAAGAAATCCTTTATGACGTCCTCTAGTATCAAACAGAGTATCTGTTGGAGGATTTTAACAAGTTGTAAGTGACTTTGAAAGGGGTACAAGCTTCCTGGTTGATCAGGGACAGAGTTTAGAAAAAAGATTTTGTGATGTTAAAGAAGCATTGATTGAGATGTTTAAACCAACCCTGGTTAAAATATTAGTTTTTAAAGTCCAAACAAGTTCACAAATCCAGTACAACAGTATGCAGAGAATGCATACGATAAAAATAAATAGTCTCTGTGTTTGATTGGCAGCCTCACAGACTCATGACTTCTGCCTGCTTTGCTCAGTAGTGATGTAAGGCAGAGGTCACTAGGTCAATAACAGACCACAGCACACCATGAAGCCCCACTGACCTGCATGGCTCTTGGCAGGAAAACATGTTTCCTGCATCAAGTTTAACTTCAGCTTTCCTCGTTTTTCCTCTTTCATTTTCCCGTGTCCCTGTCTTTAGTGGACTCCTTATATTTTCCTTCTTCTTGATAATTCTTTCCTAATTCCCTTCTTCCTTTCCCCTGTCTTTATCTAATTTGTTTCCCTTTTTTCCTGGCTTGAATATGTCCTTATTTTCTCTACTTCCAGTGCTTTTTATCTTCAGTACTTTCCATTCTACTTTCTTTCACACTTTGTCCCTTTTCTCTTCCTCCCCTTTTGAACAAACCTCAAAGCATGAAAATCCCAAAAATCAAAAGCTTGACCAACGAGCTTTACATCTGGCAGCACACTAAATTCCTACTTTGGACATCTGATGACTACATCTGCCTTTTAAAGTAAACCAGGAGCACAAGTAAAAGTTGAACGCAGGACCCATACTTCCAAAGAAGTATTCCCCCTGTGAATTTCTGCTTTTAAGACAGATAAATAGATGTAATGTATTGATCTTAAAGTGGGAGATTGTGGATCATACTACTGTGATGTTGAAGCGTCACTTACTTGCATGTATATCCACATATTCTCTTTGATATTATCTTAATGAACCTGACTCTCAGCCATCTGATTCTTACTTGGATTAGATGCTCCATCATGTGCTGATAATTGCTTCTATTTATAGTCCTGCTTGTTGTTCATCATGATGTCCCGAAGATAGCGCCGAGAGAGTAGAGGGGGAGTGTTAGAGAGACAGAGAAGGCAAGAAGAAGGATATAAAAAGCTCTGTTTGACAGAAAGATCTAGTACCTGAGGTGAATTTGGCTTCTAGCTGACAGAAATAGCAGCTTGGATGCTATTCCTGGTTGAGCGTGATATACCCTATATAGAGATGAAAAGCTGGCACTGTACCATGTCTGCTTGAAAATTACTCACTTGGGCTTTTACATCCAGGTAACCACAACCTCTGCTTGCTTTCACAATAACAACACTGTAGTATCAAGTAGGCCTGAACTTTATGAGAAAAATACATGATTACATTATTCCATATTGTGATAACGATATGAAGTGAGGTAATTAAACCAAAAGTGAAAAAGTTTAGATTAGCTAACCCTCAAAGTTTCTCTCTCTTCCTTCTGTTCTTCATGGTTTACATGATACCTGTATTTGCAACATGTATCATATGAATCCACTTAATTGGCAGCAATTCATCTGAGGTTAGCTCAGCTTCGTCTTCTACATCAACACAGAGCGCAGCATCGTCGATGTGACCTCCATCCAATAGTTAAAGTGTATGCATTCTGAGACGGAAAGCATTGTTTGTTTTTATAAAACATTTTTTCTTATTCATAGAAACTTAGTTCAGACTTTTGTGATGTGTATATAGCAAATGCTTATACTGTATTGTATTGAAATTGTGATTCATTGTGCAACCCAGGTAGCAAACTAACCTTCACAGTTAAATCAAAAGAATGAAATTGAGTGAATATCAGTCGAAAAGATCACAACTGTCCAGATGCTGAACACATTTGGTGAAATATACATTTTCATATAGTGTGTGAAAGGGAGCTTCATGCCTCTCTTGCCTTTTTTCCTCCACCTTTTTGTTCACGTCTTAATCTCCCACTCCATCTCTAATTGCCGTACTCTTGAGAGGAGTAATTTAGATCAGCAGGGGACAAGTTGCACTGGCCCACTTGCTTGCCGCTGTTTGCTCCTCAGGGGAAGCCTGTTTGGGTGTAAAACACACCACTCAGCACCAAAGTGCTGTGAAGAGGAGTCTTTTAAAGTGCTCGTTATTACTGCTATTGGGCCTGTTGATGTAGGAGGAATAAAGTGAGGGTGCTAACTAGGACTGTTCTCCTGTGGATGTAGTAATATAGTACAATTCCCTCACTGTGTAGCCCTTTTGCACAAAGACTGTCCGGCAAGTAAATAACCTAGGATTGGCAAGACTTAATACATCTGGAAAGAAATAGATTTTACAATATTATGTTTTAGTTATAAGATAGGCCTAAACTTCTGTTGGACTTTGCAGTATATCGGCAGAATCTGTGTAAAAGAGAGTGAAGTTGTCAGAAACAATTAGTGTGATGCTTAATGCTTGGACAGGAATTTAGTGTAAAGAAATAAAATAATCTGTATTTTGTGTAAAGCTAAAACTTTGATACTGTGATTTTGTACCAGCAAGAACAAAATGTGCACTTTGTATTTATATAACTTGTGTGCTTTCCCTCCTTTCTGTGCTTAGTTCCATAATCTGCAGGAGCTGAGGCACAATGCATCGCTGGTAACGAAGGTGTTCATACAGAGAGACTACAGCGAAGGAACCGTCTGCCGCTTCCAGAGCAAGTTCCCCTCAGAGCTCGACAACAGGGTGAGCACAAATACAGACCTGTCACTTATACACGACAAGAAAAGAGTTATTTATCAGCAAAATCACACATCACCTAAAACAACATTCATACTCTCTAACACAGTGAGAGTGATGGTACAATATGGCTTCAAACAATCCCTCTGAGGGGGGATCCGACGTAAAAGAAGGCAGGTGTATGATTGAAAACGGGGACATTGTCATTCATGTGCTAACACATGCAGAGGTGTCACAGGCACCCTTCACTCAACTAGATTTAAAAAAAGGAATCAGAGCCACTGATCCAATGTCTTCACTGAGATGAAGAGGGAAAAGTACAAAATGTCATCCATCTTTCTCCAGTTTGTCTTGATATGTGTTTTACTTTGTATTTGTCATGTTACCTCTGTCTTCTGCGATATACACTGACGGCTCCACCTAGGAATTGTTTTTCTATGTGTTATGAATGATTGATTGTATTTTATTTACATGTCACGCACACAAAGTGCCCAACCCTCATGGATTTATAAGACACCAGAAATTCATTTGCAGTGTTTCAACAATTCAGAACATGAAACGTTGCCTCTTCCGTTGACAGCACCAAGTGAAATGTATCCGTCTTTTCACCCAGGCACAACCACAATTTTTCATAATCATCCCACCAAAAGAATTTGATGAAAGATTTTTATTCTAAAAATGCATCCCTTATGTCCTCATCGATGGGACAGTAATATAGAAAGTGATAATCACTCTCAATTTCACCTTTCACACACAAACAAACTAACTCTGTCTTCCTCTGGAGTGGCATTGAACCTGCCTGTCTCTGAAGCTTAAGGTAATGTTCCTGAACGTAACTGTGCACAGAGGGATCTTTGTCATATCCAAAATTTCACTTGATACTTGGACGGCTGGCATAGTGATAAAGAATTTGATAAAACAGTTTCCCCTTAGATGTGTTGAAATTAAACTTATGATTATGTTAAATTACTTTAGTCAAGACAAACATACCTGAAACACTATTAAATAACAATAACAGGTAAATGTACTGAGATACTTCCTATCGCTGAACACATGAAGAAATATCTGAAACATTATGCAGATTGAGGCAAACTTTTGCAGTATGACCTCTAAGTAACTTAGCAGACAAGCGCAGAATAACTCTACTAGTGTCACAGCTTTATTCATAACATATTAAATGTATTCTGCTTATTCTCTGCAGAAAGAAAGAGCAAAGAAGAAACCCCAATGCTTTTATTTTCACACTTAATATGGACACTGGGGGAATGTGCTTTTCATTTGAGGTGCAAATTTGTTCTTTTTACTTTGCTGTTCTGGCATCTGTGGAGGTGTTTGTAGGGGTTTTTCTTTTCTTTAGATTTTCTAGTTTTTTAAGGATCTGAAGCAGACAGACCACACACACACACACACACACACACACACACACACACACACACACAGAGCGAGGGAGTCAGACTAGAATAAATATTTTCAAGAATCTACTTTTCATGATGAATGGTCTCTGTCAGGCCTTCAGACCACTGCACTTTTCTTTCACACCTTCGTCTAATTTTTCATCTTAGTTTTAAGTTTCCTCATATTCTGCAGGTGAGGTGTGTTTCTGGATTGTTTGACAAGGTAGGAATATTTCGGGTTGAGCAGAATGCAGCTGGTATGTTTGGCAAGCAGTTTTATAGCTGAACAGCTTGCACCCACACTTATGCCAGAACTCTTTTCACTCCTGCAGTCCTTATGGTGTGTATTTGTGTGTGTGTGTGTGTGTGTGTGTGTGTGTGTGTGTGTGTGTGCCTCCATATCTCTACATGTGTGTTTGTGTCTGCAAGTAGATTGAGCGAACATTGCTCGAGGAGACGGTGAAGACGCTGAACTCTTACTATGTGGAGGCTGAAAAAATCGGAGGTCAGTCGTACCTGGAGGGATGTTTAGCTTGTGCAACAGCGTATATCATCTTCCTCTGCATGGAGACCCGCTATGAGAAGGTAATCAACTTGTGCACACCTACTGTACATCCTTTCACAGACAACAGCCATGTACCACCTGTGGAGCACTCTGGGAAACATGTTCATTTACCTTCTTTCTTAAAGTTAGATTAGATTTTACCACTATTCATTTTTCACATTCTAAGGCTGGAGGCAAAGTTACTTTTTAACATTTGTTTTTCCGTATGCGACTGGCTGCTTCATGAACGTAATCGTAAATATACTAGGCTGTATGTGACGTGTGTGACTGGAGGATGCCAGTAGCACACCAGAGAACTTAAGCTGTATACAACTACCTCATGTGTGGGATGTAAACCACAAATGGAGGAGGATAGTATAATGGATATAATAATTGATTTTTGCAATACTGTCACACGTGTTTGATTGTAATTCATACACAGGGTAACCATGATAGCACCGATAGCTCAACCTACCAGTCGCGATAGCGGTTAAGAAGAAGTAGTAACAGAGTGAGCTGTGACAGACAGCTCACACTGAGTCCTGGTCTTTTGCATCTTAAAATCTGATGTTTAGCACAGCCAGGCAGACCTTTATTCGCACTGACCAAACAGCACCGCCTCCTCATTCTGTCAGAGCAGGTGTCAGTGTTTACTGCATTTCCACCATGATAGGTCTGCCTGTTTAAAGGTTTTTTAAAACTGACGAATCACTTGTCTTAAATCCAAGATGATTAAAAGAATGAGGCTCTCATTAATACTGAAAGCAGTCGCTGTAAATACTGAAACTCCCTGTCGTGTTATTGTTGTTCTCCGTTAAGTGTAGCTCTGCTAAAGCTCAGTTAATTCACTTATAAACACAATATTTCAACCTACAAACCCCTAACCATAAAATAGAAAATGATATACAGTTATCATTTTTTGTGTATCTTTTTGGTGGTCAGGGTCTCTGGGATTATGTTTATAATGTTTATTATTGCTTATATTAAGTATGCAGCTTTCACAAAACTAATACAAACGACAAACAGCTGTGAAACCTACATGCAATTTGAGTTTCAGCTCGGTTAGTATTTATTTACAGCTGCTTTTCAGAAACTCCAATAACCACCAAGAACTTTTTAGGAGCATATTTTTCAATGTTTAATGAAGCAGGTTCGCTCATCCACATATATATTCAGTTGTTTTTTTTATAATACACTATGGGTCTCTGAGGCTAAGCTGACCTCTCACACAGGGCAGCTTAGCAAAAAAGAAAGAAGATAAAATCCAATTCTGAAACACCTCAAAAGCCCACACCTGTGCAGCGTTGGTCGAAGCTTGGCACGCCAACTCTTAACACCACATTTGCCTAAAGCGCAACAAAGATGTCCATGTTGAGAAAGAGCAGGTGGTTCAACCTCTGCTAGCTTTGTTGCAGGATTGAACAAGTACACAGGCATACACAACACAATCACATACACAGAAGCACACACAGTAAGTTTGATTATTTCCCTTGTGACTACAGAAGTACCTGCCGGTGTTTTAGAATAAACTCGAGTGTAGCGTGAAGTCCCAGCATGCCTCATTGTTCTGATCTCTGTCACCCACGACATTCATCTCTTTGGTCTTGTTGCATTTTGCAAACATTTCTTAATCAAAGCGCCACAGAGGGACTGGAAGCTTTACCAAGAAGCACAAAAAGGATTTTTTGCTGTGTTGAAGCCATGCAGAAATGTCCCAATCTGAAGTTCCTTTCATCTCCCTGTCAGCTGGGTGCTGCTCTGTTGAGACTTTCAGATGCTATCAGCCCCACAGGAGAGCTGTTTATTTACATGTTTAACTTACTCACATCTTGGCTGAATCACATTATTACCGACAATAATCAAATATACCCACCCAAGTCGATGCTGTTTCCACACGCCAGTGAGCATGGACCTGTGTGCGGATTCAGTGGAGCACCCAAATCCTTGATGCTTATATCTCACCCTATCAAAGGACACTGATTGCTCCCAGCATGTCAGAACAGATTCATGTGCACAAAGCATTCAGAAAGCTTCCCTCACGCAATAGTATGTGCCCTCCATCTATTTCCTCTTCAATTATTCACAAGAATGTGACTCCACATATGGGACTTTCTCGAACATACATATGCACGCATATTCCCCTTTAAATTTCACTCTAGCAGAGGAAAAGAATCCTGTGACATGCATGTGAAACAGACTGTGACACCTTAGCTTCTTAGGCGATACACTGACACACTCACAAAGCCAACACACACACACACACACACATATATCAACACAACAGAGAAACAGCTTGTGTACTTGACTGTCATATTGTTACGCTGAAGAGGATTGAGCTGCCCTGAGAGCTGGCTAGCAGCGAAACGGTTGGCCTTTTCACTGCACAACAATAACCCCATTAGTCAGGACTGGGCTCTGTGACTCTGTTCCTTGATATTTGGTTGCCTTTGATGGAGTTTTCAACAAAAGACACAGTTATGTTTTGTGTAGAGGAATTAGTGCATACACTGTCATTATTCCAAGCCAAGTACTGATTGTATTCTGCTTACTTGACATAGATCTGACTGATTTAAAGCAGCACAATTAAGCTAACCACTGCCCATTGATGGCTTTTTACATTGTTTTACACAGAGGGACCTCATGATTGATAGTAACATTATCCAGACAGTGTATTTCAAAAGTTGTTTCTTCCTCTTACAATGGGAGATAGAAAGAAGTATTCTTCTGTGGTTTAGTCTCTGCTTGCAGGGGTCACTATATGAGCAGCTGTGCCTGCAGCTGTAACAGGCCTTTGACCTCCTGGAGGAGTGCTTCTCTGTGTGTTGCTCACTCTCTATTGTTTTCTTATCTCTGAAGGCAGAAAGTGCTGAACTGACCTTAAGTTAACTTTAAGAAGAGGATGTGAGCTTTTTCATGTTGAATGGAAAAGTTTAGGAATTCATGAAAAAGTTGTTTTACCCCTGACACAGCATGCTACAAAAAAATTAACTGCTGCTTATAACTAAACCCTTTTTATGTAGATATTTGTGCCGTGTTGCTCAAGATAGTAGTCTGTAAAAAAGTGTGACGGGAAAATAAAGTATTTTTTGTCATTGTGCAAAAAACTCCTTTAACTGCTTCGTGCAATTAAAATAAAAAATAAAATGCCTAAATAGGAAAAAACCCAATACAACAGAGTCGATAAGACAAAGACCACAAATGCACTGAAGTAGAAAAATAAGAGAATTAATGGATATTAAATAATCTGTAGGTATTTACAGATAGTTTAGATTGCTTCGGTTGTGATAGGTCTTTGTCCTAATGACCTTTATTTTTGGATCTTAATTGCAAATAGCAACAGCTCGTGAAGCTTACCCATTAAGACTGCATTTTAGTAATTTCCCTGCGTCCTCAAATGCCAAACCCACAAAAATAAGAACAAAGCTGACTTTGAAAGACTTTTTGTTCAAGCAGAATTGAGGAACTTTCATTTTGTGGTGACTTAAGCAGTTATTTCTTACCTCTTTGCTCATCCTGTCTTATCCATTTTGGTGGAGAGAGGTTCTTTTGATCTGCAGGCTATGAACCTCCCAAAAGTAACTATATAGAAACTGACACACTTCTGATGGTCTATTTTGCTTCCATAAGTCATATAAACATTAATATTAGATTAAGCCATTCTCATAACCAGTTAAAAATCAGAATATTTTGGTTTAATATACATTACAATGTAAATTATTAATTCTAATCCAGGCTGTTATTTTCAGTCTGAAGTGATAAAACTGTGTTATTCCAGCTCAGACACGCAGATATGCAAAGGATTTCTCCTCCTTCCTCAGAGTGCTGACAGCTCCCTCAGTGTACATGAGTCCCAGTGGAGCGTGGTTTAGCTGATTGACACGGTTAGGCAGAGTCTAGGAGAGGCATGGCACAGCGGTACTGTTGGTGTCCACAGAGGCATAGCTGAGGCTAAATAAGCTGCTCTAATGATGCCACTGTGACTAACATCTAACCATTTAGCATCACCGTCCATCAGTCAGCAGTCATTTGGTTGCTATCAGCTGCAACCTGGGACAACATCACAGTGCTTGAGTTTGAATAAACACTCCAAATCTCCAGGGTAAACTGCGTGTGGAGTTGTAATGCTTACTGAATTTATTTGCAAAAGTGGAGTCTAAACTTGGGGCTCAGCTTCACTCCGCTGCAGCTCTGTGGTCTGTTTTTTGCACAGTTGAAGAAATTCTCACTTGCTAGACTGAGAATAGATTCTTTACTAAAACAGTCTAAAGAAACTGTCCACCTCACTTTTTAGAGGGTTACTAAATGGCCCAGACAGTTAACCAAGGCATGACATTTAGCCTGAGACAGCCATGTTTGGAATTAGGAACTAAAGCCTCTAAATGGAAAACTTCAAAAAGAGAAAAGCTACGGCTCGTCAATTCTAGTAATTCAATTCATACAGCTTTGCTTGACATGAGTGGCTTGGAGCTATGTATAAAAATAACTGCCGTACTTACAGTATAATGGAATTACTTTGAGTTTAGACTGTAATGTTCAGGAAAAACAAAGACGTGCAATGACTAGAAAAGAATATGTATCACATGCCGCATGCTAACTATGCACAAAAGACCACAAATTATTTCTTCCATTTTTCAGTTTTTCCACCAGGAGGATGTTATGCCAATCTTTACCCTCTTGTAGGTTTATGTTCAGTGTAACCTGCACTTTGGAAAGTAATATGCAGATAATGGATTCCCATTCAGAATGTCTGTTGATATTACTTATACTGTACTGCGTGTTCTGCGAGTGTTTTTGAGGTTTTCAGCATGCCCCCAATAATGGTTCTACTGAAAACTTCAAGATCTCCCATTGTATATTTGTCTTTTTTAACCCTTCTTCATCTTCCCTGATTTCTTCCAGGTGCTGAAGAAGATATCCAGCTACATACAGGAGCAGAACGAGAAGATCTACGCTCCCAGAGGTCTGCTGCTCACGGACCCTGTAGAGCGAGGAATGAGGGTCGTATCCTTCCCTAATCTGCTGTTCTCTCTGTTCAAGTTTGAATTAATTAATAGGAAAATGAGGCTCAGACATGTACAGTAGATGGAACCAGTAGTTAAGAGTTTTTAGATTTTAGACTTCATTAGTCTGAGCTCCAAGTTAGGGTTGTTTTCACTGAGAAACATCTGTGTTGAATTAATGAACAAGAAACACCTCCTGCCGCTCACACAATACCTTTAAGGTGTCCTTGAATGAATGAAGGAACCCAAACGCCAGCTGCTGCAGAGGAGCTGTTCATTGCCCAACTGCTGTTCCCTAGAGAAATCTTGAACTTGAAGCAGGGCAAGGCTGAAAAAAGCATGCATGCTTTGTCAAATGTCCTCTTAGAAGAGAGGTGAAAGAAACAGAGTGATGTGATGAATCATCAGCCCAAGGTGTTTGTGCTTCAAATGTGTTTATGTTGCTAAAGCTATGTGCTCTGTTTCATCATTCCAAAACTGGGTGATGTATCACAATCAATTTCAACATCTGTTACTCTCGAGATCACTTATCCTATTTTACTTCAAAGTTGAGTTGCTAAATTTTCATATTGCCAGCAAAGGATCCTCATGGGAGAGAGTGTGTGTCCAGTAGACCATCACACAGGCCTGGCCCAAGCTGACTGTAAGAGCTGGCTCCAAGTCACAGGGCGAACCAATTTCCAACACGTATTAGTCAGCACAGTGCTTCACAATGTGGTCTCTGTTTGTGAAGACGAGTAGAGGCGTGTTTCTCCTGAAGAGCAATGAAAGCATGTGTCTTACTTCTATCAGTGTTCCCTTATTGGCATGATCCCTCAGTCTCGGATCACAAGAACAGTTTTATTTTTCAGAATCCAATAAAGGAATTCCTGTGCAGAGATGCTCTGACACCATTTTATTCTTCTTGGGACTGAATGTAATACATTAACCTGCGTGTTTCCAAATTCAGATTACTAGCCTAGTACCTGTGCAGTTAAAAAGATACATATTTTTTTATTTGCATCCTAGTAATGCTGTATTACTGGGATGCATTTGCTACCAGTGTTGTTTAAAACCTTTTTGTTTTGTTGTCAAGGATTTTCAAATGATTTACTTTTTGCTTCCTCTATCTAACATTAAACTCTGCTGACACAGTCGCATAGTTACTTGCTTTTGTAAATTGTAAACAACTCCTGGTAACTCTGAAACGTAGTTGCCAGTGGCAGCAACAATATATTCAAGTTAACGAGCTGTGAAGGTTGCTGTATTGGACATTCTCTGGGGGTTAATGCATTACCTGAACGGTGCATAGGCTGGCATACTCGACCATACCGGACAACACATGTTGGGCATTTCCATTACTTGAATATGTATAAAATGCTTTGGCCATTGGGACCTCGCGTTTGTAAACAAGTACATGGAATGACTTTATTTTCCTGTCCCAGACTATTTTTTTATTTTAAGCATTGGGACATATTTTAACCCTTTCATGAGCTGTTCCAGATGCTACAACTGTTTTTTTAATTAACATGTTTGATTTAATCACAGCCGAAACAAGATTTTTTTGCAATTGGAGCTCCTTAGAGATGAGTACGAGCTGAGAAATAAGCAGTATCAACTGAGGGAGCAACAGGATACCAGGAGGAGAAGGAGAAAATATTGAAGCCATTCACTGATCTCTCCAAGTACATAAAAGCTCATGAGGTGGATGTTCGGCCAAACGCTGCGGACACAAAACTGTGGGATGAAAAATGAGTTTTGAAAGTTGGAGCACTTTCTACATCCTGTGTTTTAAAACTATCTCTGTCATTATGGTCCTTGACTCTCTGTGTGTCTGCAGCTAGAGATCAGTCTGTTTGAGGACCGGGGCTCGGGCAGCTCCAGTCCCAGCAGCACCATGTCGTCGGCAGGCAGCGCTCGGTGACTGGAGGGGCAGCGCCAGGCTTACGGGTACCACCACAGGGGCAGCGGGACACTCACCAACATCCGCATGCTGAAACATGAGAGCACGAGGTTCTAAGACGAGTGGCGAGAACAAGGCGTGGAGGTGATCTACAGCATTCACACTCTCCCTGCCACCTGAGAACAGGAGCTGGCTTACACAAACACACTGGATTAAACACAAGTGCAACAGAACCCCCAAACACAAGCGCTAGACAAATATACAAGCCAACATCAAGAGTGTCTATGAGGGAATATCCTTCACTATCCAACAGATATTCATCATCATCTCTGTTTTTCCAATTGTTCCATTCATTTTTCATCACGTCCATTTCCATGACTCACACCACCTCTGTCTTAAAGCTGATTCAGCTGGCTTAAGCTTAATTTAACTGGACATCAATGCTTGATTGTTTTCACGGAGGTCACTGTCACTATGTGTATCTACTGAGGCAGCCTTAAGTCTGTGCAGCAGCTCTGAAATGTAGAAGGAGGAAAAGTACCAGCCTCCCGGGAGACAGAATGTTCTCCGGTCTCGCTGAATGATTGCATTCATGTCAGGTGGTTGAGGTCAACCTGCTCTGAATGCTGGCAAATTGGGCCCGCAGTGGGACCATACGGTTCTACGCTCTGTTCACATGCATTTGGCTTCAGTATCAAACGGCTAACAGAGAGCACCTTGAATTGTTTATTCTTCTCATTCACAGCAGTTGATGCTGGTGATCCACATCACAGCTGTAGGTCACAACGCTCCTATGCGCTCTCTTTTCTCTCTCTCTCTCTTTCCATTCAAGTCAATTCAATGGCTTTGTTGGTGAAGTGTTATAAACAGCAACTTCACCAGAGCATAAAAGCACAGTTTGATTAGAATTTTGACATTCATCCAAAACAAAACAAAACCAAAAAATGATGGTAGAAGCAACAAAACATTAAGGTACATATCTTTATATTTTGCACTATGGATGAAAAATACATTAGATTAAAATTTTTACAGCACAAACTATCATGTTTACAGCCTGGTACAAAAAACAAAATAGGTCTGATTAGCTCATGTCTTGATCGGCACACATTGTGCATTTTAAAATAACTTCTAAGGATAAGCATTATTCACAATAAGGCGTGTAGCTGACCTGATGACAGGCTGGCGCGGTGTGTCAATTTGTCAAACCTGCCTCAGCTCCTGCTCTTAGATCTTCGTTTAGTTGACTGAAGTTAGTGAGTCAGCACTGTGACCGCAATCGATGGGACTACAAAGCCCCCTGCAGTAACAGATGGGTGACGTCACTCGGGCTTCGTCCATTAATATTTACAGTCTATGGTTTACAGCTGACTGACTGTTAGATGCACAAGTTAACCTAAAAGCAGTCCTTTGCACTTGATCTTTGTAAAGATTTCATATCAGACCACTCAAGTGGTACCTTTTTTTATTCTTGAATCATTTTGAAGATACAGTTAATGCCACATAGACTTTCAAATACAAGCAGACCATGCAAAAGACCCTAGAAACGAAATGTACAAACATCTCATTTAAAGGCTGAAGACAGAAAAAAACTGGTGATAGCAAAACATTATGTATCTATATTATAAAGACAAGGGAGACTAGTTCTCAAAAAGGCAAATCCGTAAAAAAACATCTTCAGATAAAATTTACAAGCATAAACAAATGGAAAAGTTCAAAGGGGTGAATACTTATGCAAGGTTTTCGATACACACACGTACACCCCAGTGGCCATTGGCCATGCTCTCCTTCACAAACACAAACAACACACACACACACACACACACACACACACACACACATTCTGGCAGACACAGAGATGGACTCAACCAAGCCCGACAATATTTTCTGTGGTCTCATCTAGTTGGGAACACAAAATAACCCAGGATTTGTAAGAGCAGGCCAGTTGGCCTGGTTTTGAGGACATGTGTGTCGTGCGTCAGTGCCATCAGTCACTAGTCCTATCTAGTGAGAGATGAAAGTCTGCCGATCATTAGGGAGACGTCAACGTGTACAGATCAGTGTGCTTAAAGAGATCTGAACGCTGACACGTTTTTTTCCTGAGAAACTGAAACAGTGTGGGTTGTTATCTCTGCAGCTGTTTGATGTATGTTATCCAGTATGGGTGTTAATGACAGGTATGTGCAGGAGAAGCTGTCCACATAAAGTTTATTGAACCTGAACCTCAAATAGTCAAGCTGTCTTGGCTCTCATGCAGATGCAGGTTTTTAAATGATTTTTTAATCAAACAAAAAACAATAAATAATCAAAATTAGGTATTTAGAAGAGAGTGTTTTTCACATAAACACAACAAAAATAAGAATCAAAGAGTGTGTCTTTTAATTAGTGCCATCCTTCATTCTGAAATGTAATTTGGGCAGTTTGTCATTGTGTCAGTGGAGCACAGTTATAGCTCCCTCTAGGGTCAGACTGAGGAAGTTCTGCATTCCCAAGAGACAATCTCAAAAGGAATTAGTCTAAAGAAAACATGAAATGAATATATTTATATGACATTAATTTTTCACACTACATCACTATTCAGCAGGCACATTTTCCAGACAAACATCTTCAATACACCCAAGACAGACTAGCCTGAGGAGCATTTCTGTCTTTGTGGGGAATCACTGCTAACAGTGTGTGTGTGTGTGTGTGTGTGTGTGGAGGCTGACGAAACAAAAGATGATCATTATGTGACAAAAATGTTGATGCCGGTAGACAGCACACCCACACGTTGTCTTACAAAAGACAAGACCTCCTGAAAACACTTGAGCCCTGCCTCAGTGTCTGCATGTTCTATTTCTGTTGGCATATTTCCCTTCGTTATGTTATTTTACCATTTTGAGTTTTATTTCCTGTTTACTCCCTCATACCATAAAGTCTTTGTTCCTTCTGACAGTGTAGTCGTTTACCTCTACTTAAGCCACTTAGCAAAACCTACAACAGAGACCCCTCCAACCAGCGTTTTGTACTTTGACCAGAGCGTGTCATTTTGGAGTTAAACTACTTACTGGGAAGACATTGAGGAATCTCTTCAGTGTAGGGGATAGTTTATTTTCATCATGACACTTTACTTCCTGGATGAACCAACAGAGACTTTTTCCCCACAGAAGTTGAGTTCAGTTGTGCTTGTGTTCGGCCTCCTGTGCTTTTTGATGCCTTCATGTTTCATCCCAGTGGAATGGATACCCAACCTGGGGCTGATGGACTGCAAAATTGACTCTAAATATGACTCTCAACACTGCCAATAAGCAAACAACGGAGCTCATTGGACAATGTATAAAGAAATAAACAATGAGTATGTATGAAATGTAAAGGAGAAGAGCAGTATTGTACATGCTTATCTATGATTATATCCATGCTGAGTGTGTGGGGTGTAAAGAAGTTGCGGGGGAAATGCCATAATGCTATTTTATTCCAAACATCACTGTTGCTCAAAACTATTTCTTAAACCCAATTTTTAATATTTTCATAACCTCTCTGATTTGGGCATTCAGTGATGGAGCAGCTATAAAAGCAGATTGTACAGCGTTAAACTGCTGTGTAGTGTTATCTGTAAAATGAAGACATTTTTTGTCTTTGTCCAAAATAGTTTGAAGTATTGGTGATGTAGATATTGTTAATAATAATAACAATATGTGGAGTTATTATTGTGGAGTTTGATAGATGATTAATGTCGAAGGTAATTATGATAACACTCAGGGGAACGATCAAAATGTGCCAAATACAAGGGTGAAAGGTCTTAAAGGATAAGTTCACATATTTAGTTGTTCTAGCAGCTAAAGTGTTGCTAACATTGGTCGTGTGGTTGGTGCTCGTTGCTTACCGAACTCAAAATATTTACATTTCTGGATGTACTGATATGAGAATTGGTGCAGATGTCCATGTTGGAAAGAGGTTTAAACCACCTGATTCTAATTTGATTAAATTAGATTTTATCAGCTCAACATTAGCAGGATGGGTTGGTCTTTTTTAAAATGTTATCATGCTAACCTTAGCGTTTTGCTCAAAGCACCACTGATAAACCTGACATAGTTGCTAGCGTTGCTTTAGCCTTTTGGTCCATTAAAAGTAGATAAATATCACCTTGCAATCAAAACATTGGAGTTGAGATAAATTACTTATTAATTAGCGTAAATAACACCTCCAGTTAAACTTTTAAAGGTTTAACTTTGGACTTTAATGCCTGTATTCAAACACAAGTACATAGCCTCTGTACATAGGGCTAGTATACTAACAACTAGGCTACCGGCGCCCTCCTTCAGTTAAACTTTCATTGGACATACTACAATGGCATGTAAAACTGAACTGATCCTTTAAGACTGAAAAGAAAAAGAAGCACTGTGAGGGGTATTGTGAGGCGTTAATGTAGCCTGTTCTTTCGATATACAAAGACAAGGGAACAAAGACTAGGACATAGTAATAAATGTATTTTTATCAAAAGATTAGCATTGAGATAGGACTACATTATCAAGGAGCAGATTCAGCTTTGGGTCTTTGATCCTCCATCATGCTCACTGTCAAGATAACCTCTGTGCCAACACATCTTTGGAGGAGAAGCAGAGATATATGAATCACCACTTACAAGTGATAATATGTAGTCCATATCATTGCGACAATGTCAAATATTTATCATGAACTGTATTTGAAAGTGCAGAAAGTTTGTTCAGTCGACAGTGTTTCCCGGTTGTATGTGAAACTGTTACAAGTGAAAGATTAGTCATTGTGCGATATGTCTTCCTGAAGTGTAAAGTGAAATGTAGAGTTCTGGCACCAGCCTTTTCGTGTTGCTCTGAGCTGGTCTGGCTTGAAGGAGACTAAGACTGCATTGATGTTTAATGCTGCATGATGTTTGTGTAAACAAAGCGAGCACCAGATGACGAGAAGCGAACCCCCCTCATCAACGAAATCCCTCGGTTGTGCTGCTGAGAGAGAAGAATTTATATCTTATCTTGATGTTATTTATGTGTTTGCATCCGATTATTTACATATTAATTGACTCATGTATTATTTCTCAAAGCTGATTACTATTCAAAGCCTGGGGAGTCGAGCTTCAACTGTCGTCGAGACATGAATAAAGTGTCTGATGAAGCTGGTTTGAAAGAGAATTATTTTAACTGGAGGCAGCTGTCTTTTTCTTTTTTTTTTACAATGTTCAATTTATGAGGTATATGCTTCGTCTTCTCAGTTTATTAAACACATTTTTTGGAAAATTCAGAATAGGACAAAGTCATTTTATCAGCCTGAAGTATGTAACTGTAGAGAGTAAGTAAGTAAGCTGGTAGGCTCAAACATGCTCACATATTTACTGAATCTAGTTATTCAGTCCTAAATTCATGTGACTTTACATCAGGTGAAAAAAGGGTTAGGGTTAGGGTCAATGACCATTGGCCGATAGTTGAAGTAAAATAGGCTGTGTTCTATCCACTGTACAAAAATGGACAACATGTCTCCACTTCCTCCTTTTTTTTTTACAGAAGTAAGCCAAAATACTCCACATGACAGGCACCTTCATACTACGCATTGTGATTTCATTCGGGGCCAGAGTTGCTAAGTAGACTAAAACAGCAAATATCCCTCAAGTTGGTACGGTCCACTTCAGAATGGATATGTTGGTTTGAAGCAGATACAATGTTGAGGAACGTTCAATGACACTCTTGTTAGTATGTGTTACACTTACACTCACTTTAACTCCTCTACTCTATTAATCTGGTGCTCTGCTGTGATTCTGTTCTTATTTATTTTAAGTATTTTAAACCCCAGCTGAGTGAAGCGCCATCCCGTCCCATATGAACACAACGCTGAAAACAACAAGCCCAGAGGGAATTTGACTCCACTCTGTTTTTAGAAAGGCATTACTCAGCAATCTATTTACTGAGGATATAATAGATATCTGATATTAACATTGAGAAGGTTGGCTTTATCACCTCTACTGTGGACAGTCAGTCGGGGAAAAAGCTCAAAATATTTTAGCTTCACTTTTGGAAATGCTGGCATGTTGTCCATCTATTTAGTCTATGCGTTAAACATAAAACATAAAACCTTTTGAGCTTGTATGGGGAACATGTTGCAAAATCTGTGCTTAATTACTCAGAGCAGATACATAGTGAAGGTGAAGTTTATCTAGAGTAATGTTTGGTTGCCAAGTGATGAAAAAATGGATAACAGCTCTGTTGTCATCTCTGTGAACTCTAAACGAAAACTGCTTTGCCAAACGAAACACTGAAGTTAAACATTTAAAAGGAGCATTTTTTAAATTCTCAAATATACCAAATATTAGCGTCTGTAACTAAACAAATCAAAGCTTCTTTGTTCAACATGGGGACGAAGGTAGAAATTGTTTTCCTGTGACAATCAGAATCCCTATGCGATCCTTGTATTAGCAGATATCTGTCCTTATCAAAACGTCTCTGATACTGAAGAGTGTTTATTTGCTGTAGGATTTCATAAACTCATAATCTTTAAGTCACACATCAAAATAAGTGTGTAGCACTTCTGATTGGTCAGATTTCACCGGGAGGGTATGTGTTATAGTCTAAAAACTTCAACTAATCACTACTTCACTGCCTAACTCAAAACAGGAGGACGATAACTGTATTAGCATTAGTCACTCAGCAAAATGTTTCCCTTAGAAGTTGTGTGTCAACTGTTTTTAACACTCAAAGTTGTGTTAACAGCTCGTTGCAGAGCCCAAACTGACCAAAAAAAGAGCCGGCAGCTCTATGTGTGTGTGTGAGCATGAGTGTGTGCCTTTGTTTATAAAGTGTGCAGTAGATCAATCATGGCCTGCTCATAAGGCCAAAAATTAGTGATAAAGTTCTGGCTCATATTGAGGCTTAGTGAAGATCACTGACGTGGAGACTGTGAGACTGAACTGATATTTTCTTAAAGACAGCAGAGGAGTGAAGAAACATCTCAACACCTGGCAGAAAAGGTCACTTTCACGCTAACAAGCTATTCTTTCCCTCTACACAGACCTCCTTTGTTCTCCTTTTTTTTTTTTTTTAAAAACCTCCTGCCACAAGTTGTTGCGGCATTTGTTTTGAAATTCCAAGTTTTAAATTCCTCAATTTTGGCTGCACTGCAATTTCTGTGAGTATTTCCTCAAAACCTTTCCAGCTCTTTTATTTCTTGCTCTCTACACATAAAATAAAAACAGGCTTTACTTTCGCCAAAAAAAGTAACTTCTTGTATTTAATAGTTAAAATGTTTATTACTACAAATGACAGAAAATCAGTACCCCACCTCTGCTTGTGTTCCAAAAAGTATTTTGGCTAGCTGCAGTGTCTGGCACACACACAGAGAGCAGTCATTAAAGTGAAGTTTACAATTGTGTGCATGCAGGTAATGCATCAAACATGGATGCAGGAGAAGCAGTTGGCTTCAGAGAAACGTCAGGCCTGTAGTGACATTAGAGGAGGACGTTCATATCTATATTCTGTTCTGGCGACTCGTGTGTGACTGAATTATTCAAACACAATTTACTTCCGTTCCCTGAACCAAAAAACAAACAAAACAACAGGATTTGAGTCACATAAAATTGCTAACTCTGATGGTTGTCTCTTGAGGCTTCAAAACATTTATCAACATCTGCCCAAATTCAATCTCACTCTGAGTTATGGCTGTGAATTAAACTGTGTTTAAGGGTTTCCATCACTTCTGGGTTATTGTATAATGTATGTATGTTTTGTGTGCTCTTAAAATCACACTGCCGAATCATCTTTAGAAATGACAAAGAGGTAACACGAGAAGAAAACTGCCAGATTTGTATTTTAGTCACATTTGATCGATTGTGCTAACCCAGGATTTTTTTTTAGACTCTCTTTTAAAGCCATGTCCCTCCACCTCACAGCTGCCCTGCCTGCTGTTGTTTTTGGCATGAATATCCCCTAAACCTCAGTGTGATTGACTGCCCTTGTGTTGCCTTTTATCCGCTTGACCTCTCCCAAATGCAGCGCTGAATGCAACATTACAACACAATTGAAGGCGTCTAAAGACTGTAAACGTTTGTGTCCCTTCTGATCACCTTGGTCAATTGGGAGACATTCTCCTTCGATATGTTGCAATGCTTTCGAAACACATTTTTGAAAGATTTATTTTTGTGCTTTTTTTGTGTTTATTTGATAGGACAGTGGATAGAGCAGGGAATGGGAGCGAGTGGGGAATGACATGCAGGAAAGGATCCACAGGCCGGACTTGAACCTCTAGCTAAGTCCTTGGAATGTCTTGTTCAGCGCAGCAGGAAACTTCGTTCGCATGATCATGCTGTGTCTCTTGTGTTTAAAAAAACTTTGCAGAGGTTTAGTATGGACATTTAACATGGTAACAATACACAGTACGTTTCTAAATGTATGACAGTTAGGCGTCTTGTTGCTGTTAACCAGGTGATTTAAGGCCCGCCTTCACTTTAACTCTTTGCCTGTCAATGAATTGAGTTAGGCAGAGGTAGCATTACATATATTGACAAGGCCATAGTTTGCCAGTCTTAGCATTCAGGAATGATGAAGAATTCATTTAATCTCAGGCTACGATGAACCTCAATCCAGCCCTGACTAGAATAAGGCCTCCTCTCCTCTGGCCTGCAAACACAAGGAGAGATTGCCCACAGCAGTCGACTCAGGAAGCTCTGAAACAGTTGTTAGCATCAGGAACAAGCCCATTTCAGAAAAAACTAAAGATAAAATAAACATAGCTGCTCTCTGGCTGCAGCTGAAATAAAATGGCCTCTACAATGTATACATCCACATTCACCCAACTTTTTGTTCTGAACTCCTTCCGCTCCGTTTTCCTGGTTATTTCCGTACAGCACAAATATTTTCTTTAACATGTCGTTCTATATCTGATCCTGTGTCATTTTCTGTGAACATTCATGGAGTGTGTACATTGTGTAATAGCTGTTTGAGGTTTGATTAAGGGATTAGAAGTTTGAAGTGCAGGCAGAAAGAGGCATTTAGATTATTTTTCCATGTGGAGCACATGCCTGCACACACACGTACACACACACACACACACACACACACACACACACAGTCACATACACACAAAGTGGTCCAAACTCCCCTGAAACACACACGTTGAGCATTGTGTTCCAGGTTTTATTTTTCACAGGGACATCTCAGCTTGCAGTTCATTTCAGCAGAAAGAAACACAGCTGGAGCTTCTGGGACGCAAACAATGCAGCGGCAGTGAACATGCCAGACAGACGCGCACACACACACACACACACTCACACACACACACACACACACACTCAGAGCATCCTTCCTGCAGTCCGTTGGACTTCATTCAATAACACACAGTTAAAGAATCACAGAGTGGATTTGATTTAAGCTTACCTTGTCCTTAGACTGTTCTGTTATTGTGATTACTGATACATTGTGTAATTTCTCTTTTCTGTTGTTTTATACCTTCACTTTATCCCAAAATATGTCTTGCTACTTCCAGGCATGTCTTAAGTGTCGTCTTTAATGATGCGATTCCTCACCGTGAATGCTTTGCTCTCGTTTATTTCCTTCAGCATTACCTCAGGCTTTGGATTAACTCCAGTTTGACTGGATCCACAAAACTTCATATCTGAATTGAGTCTTGTGTAAAAACTGCAATTTTGCCTGCATGTTTGAACGGGTGGCGTTGAAACATTAAATACAGTACATAGTATATTTAGTTGCACATTGCATGTACACATATGAACAGTATGAGATCTCCAGTGGCTAACAATATTCAGTGGTTTCCTTTCTCTGTTTACAAACTTCAAAATGAGCTGAAATGCTACAACCTATTTCAACACATTTATAGGAAAAGATACAAACGGGATTCACACAAGCATGTGTTGGACATGAAATGATTACATTGTTATTAAGAGTGTGATTAAGTAGGAGAATGTGGGCAAAGTGGTCAAAAAACAACTTTGTCCTTTTTTTCAAAGCGTGCAAGTTTTATAACCATGTGTTGATCTAAGTGTTCATGCATACTGTGAGCTATCAGTCCTCTGTGATACAGTTCAAGAGTGTGATTGAAACTATAGAAAAGGTCTTTTTTTGTCTTTACAATAACATCTCTCAGCAACCTCAGTTGATCCTCTTTGACGTAATTGTAC